CACCAGTAACCTGCCACAAAGTAGAAGCATTAATTCTCAAACTAAAAGCACAATAAGCTACGAGAATATGACAATAGCTATGAAGAATTTACTTGATTTGCTCATTAGTTCCCTTAGTCGTGGCATTATAGATAACCTCAGCAGCAGCCTTACAATAGTAAGCATCTTGAAACACTTGGAGAAGAAGTGAAATAATACCAGCCTCAATCACAGCCTGTGTATTAAGATGAGATAACCTCAGCATCCGTCATTTTAAGAGATAAACGGAAGACTTGGAACTTACAAACAGAAACAGAAGTACAAATGTCAAATTCATCACGACAATTGCACTACTATGAGATGTTAGAGTACGGTGATCCAAATTCTATCTGCCCCAGCCCGAAAGCTTGCGGTGCTACATATTTAGTGAAACTAAAATTATGAGAAAAATATGGGGGTATGTGGTGATAACATAGGGATCAGAATGAAAGGTCTAATCAGTATGAACATGATTTATTATATATACGATGTATGTTACGGCTTCATCGTATCATATCATTCGGAGTAGCCACACCTCTTATAATTATCTTTGATACAGTAATTTTCTGCTCCTTTGCCCAACATTTTTCCAGTGATGGGTTTCATACAAATATTATGTTCTTGTTCTTATTCTATATATTGTCAATTCTCGCTTTTTCGTAACACGAGACACAAATTTTGAAACACAGCGAGAAAAAAATGTTCAGTCATGATGTTCAAAACAATAATTGATTGGTGGAAACTAAAAATGTTTTTACTGTAACATCATTCCTCCTCTTTCTCCAATTGGAAAGAGAATAAATAAAAAATAACAATATTGCTTATTTATCTCGAGGCATTTATTATGTATGCATAGAGTAATACCGCAAAGGCAAAAACAATTCCATAGTAATTTGCATACCTGCAAATTATCCTTACTCCGTCTAATGATTTCTGAAATGATCCGACATGTGGAATCCTTGGGAAACCATCCTTTTTGTGTCCAAAAGTTAAGCAGGCAAGGAAGAAGATCAATGATAACCTGGAAATCATTCGACAGAAGCAAGTTTGTAAAGAAAGATAATACTCCTTGACAAACTCAATTATGGAGTTAGAATTGATATCCTTATTAGAGTTCCTCTTAAAAAGTAAAAATGGTCGATTACTCATGATTGACACTGAGTAAAAAATGGTTCATTAAAGAATTCAATAGTCTCTTTATGGGTGTATTTGAGCCCATGTTTTTAAATAATAAATTTTGTAATAGTGATTTTTTACAAAATGTGAGGTTAAAAAAGTGTAAAATTATTTATTGGAAGAATGTGTGGTTGAAAATGAGTTTTCGGGCTGTATTTTCGCACCTCAAAAGTATTTTCCACATAAGGTAAATACATACTAAATTTGTATTTTCACTACTCAAATGGCTTACAGTGCACATCTTTTATATGAAATATAAAAGATGGACTACATAAAAAAAAATTCACGTGCTCAAAAGGAAGTTTTCTAATTAAGGTTAAGAACAAGAGTCAGCTAATACCTGAATCTGGATATCGTCTAAATTTGAAATAGTACGAGCAATGGCGCACAGGGCACCAGTAGAAACTGCACGTGAAGGATGTCTGCAAACCACTAAA